GTCCTGCACTTGGGTGGGAGCAATCCCAAGCACAAGGACAGGCTGGGAGGAGAATGGATTGATAACAGGACTGGGAAGAAACATTTGGGGGTGTTTGGGGTGACTGAAAGCTCAACATGACTTGGCAATGAGCACCTGCAGCCCAGAAGGACAACCATGTTCTGGGCTGCATCCAAAAAGGTGTGACCAGCAGGTCGAGGGAGGGGATTGTCCCCCTCTGGGGAGACCCCCCCCTGCAGAGCTGCCTCCAGCCCTGGGGTCCCCAACACAGGAAGGACATGGAGCTGCTGGACAGAGTCCAGAGGAGGCACCAAGAGGATCAGAGGAATGGAGCAGCTCTGCTATGAGACAGGCTGGGAGACCCGAGGGTGTTCAGCCTGGAGAGGAGAAGGCTCTGGAGGAACCTTAGATCCTCTCCCAGTGTCTTAAGGGGGTTGGCAAGGAGGCTGGAGAGGACCTTCTCACTAGGGTATGGAATGAAAGGACAAGGGGCAACGGCCTTAAGCTGGACAGTAGGTTTAGATTAGATATTAGGAAAAAATATTTCCCTATGAGGGTGGTGATGCCCTGGCACAGGTCGCCCAGAGAAGCTGTGGCTGTCTGGAAGTGTCCAAGGCCAGGTTGGACGGGGCTTGGAGCAACCTGGGATAGTGGAAGGTGTCCCTGCCCATGGCAGGGAGTTGGAAACAGATGATCTTTAGGATCCCTTCCAACCCAAACCATTCTGTGATTACACGGTCCTAAAACATGTTCTTCAATTACAGGTTGCTCAGTGTTGCAGAGAAGAGCCATCTTCGGTCCCTTTACACAGGTGAAACTCCTTGGAAGCTTGAGAGACTTTTTGTTTCAAGATCCAGCTCAGATGCTCTTCTCTGTGCTGCATCTCTCAGGTAAGTGGGAGTAAAAGGCAGTAAAATTGCAGTCATATGCCAGCAGACAAGATTGAACACACACTGAGCGCAGACATGATGAATAAGGAGGTGGCATTTTAATAGTCAATTTTCAGCATATAACAGTTCTTGAAAATAGATTGCTTAGGACATTTTCTCTACTTTAGGAGTGCCACTGCTTAGCTGTGCACTTCAGTGAAAGCAGAACTTTGGGCCACCTTTAAGTTAAAGGATTGCCACAGGTTAGAAAGGGGGTGCCTCGAAACTAAAATGTGCTGCCATCACACAGCATAAATTACAGGGTATAAATAAAACAAATATTAGGGTTACCTTTATTGTAAGACCCTTTTGAAAAGTTTAAGTTGCTGCTGCATTTCCAGAACTCAAGATTTCTCCAGCTAAGCTGATTGCACCCAAGATTAGGAAGTAGCTGTGTGTCTGTTTTTGTACATTCAAGAGCTATTAATGCCTTGCAGGGAACAAAATTCGGAGGGAGAGAGAGAGAACAGATGCATCCCTGTGGATCAAGGGCTTTCCCTGGTGAGACAGGAGTCCTGTGCTCACTCAGAAACCTGTGTGAGGGCAGGTTATATATTTTATAATGAGATTGAACACTAGAAAATATACAGGTTGTCCTCAGAGCAGAATCATTGTATGGAGGGCACTATCATCATCATTTTTGATCTAGAAGAGACACAAGTCCTGGTATTGTGTTTGAAAAGAGTGGCAGCTGCTATGGACACATTGAGTGGCCTAAAAAGGGAGGGATTTCAGCCCTCCTCCCCGTCTTCCACTGGTTGATCTGGGCAGCTCATCCCTCAAAATGTCAGTTCACATCAATCCCACCCACAGGGACTGACTGGGACCTCAGGGATGTCCTGCAGTGGGTGGCACTGCCATGATGGCACAGGGCTGGATGCCATGGACCCCTGGGTGTGCCTCTCTTGGAAGTTGTGACCTCCTCCAAACAGGCCAGAAAATAAAGACTTTGCCTGTTCTCCTGCAGCCTCTGGAGCAAAGAGCCTTCCTCTGCCAACCTTCTCCTGGGAGCACACACAGACTGAATTTTCACCGGGAGATTTTCTGCCTGAATTTGACAGATTTATTTTGCTGATGAAGAGCGAGGCTGTTACGACTCCTCTCAGTGTCAAAAGGGAACTGAAAAGATTTTCTCTCAGCATCCTGTGTCTCTTACCATGTGCTTGGGAGCCCTTTGATCAGAAACACTCTGTTAATAATTTATGTTTGCGTTGTGCCTTGTACCCATAAGCTGACAGACCAGCGGCACTCCTGTCAGAGTATGAATGCTAATGCAACACACCCACAGTTACTTTTCCCTGGAAAATGTTGTCACATAAAACACAGCTTCTCCAGGGGCTAAACTTCATCATCTTTACTTTGGGTCCTTACACGGGAGCTCCTGAAGCTACTCATGCAATGGACTCTTCCTGTGCTCGTTGCCCACTTGGCCCACTCACAACAAAAAACTGGGAGAACCAGGGTCAGTTTTAAAAAGTTCCAGATGCTGGTGGAGGTCCTGGGAATAATAGTTTAGTGAAAGAGGGACAAAGATGATATTTTAAATGTCTTACCTCTCTTTTGTTATCACTAGTGAGCTGGAGAAGCCTCAAAAAGAAAGACATAAAAAGGGGAGAACCTTGTTCAGGCTTGAAATTCATAAAAGGTAGAATTCCTTTTCTGCCTCATACCCCATGTCCACAACCCTGGGCAGACCTTGGTAAAAAATGGGAGATGTTTCTCTTTCTCCAGTCACTGGGGACATCTCTAGACTGCCATGACTTGCCAAATATTGTGGAGAGAGGCTTGGGAACTACATCAGCCAATTCCCTCAGGACCCTTGGATGCATCTTGCCATGTCCCATGAACTTGGGTGTGTTCAGGTTCCTCAGCTGGTCTGGAACCTGATCTTCACTTTTGGTGAAACCTAATTCCCCTGGAGGTTTGGGAGCTCAACAAATACTGGAGGACAGATGTGTTCAGTATCTGTTTGCCAACAGCTTTCCTGTTTTATTTCCCATGAGTGTAAATTTTATTTTCTCTTCCTCTTCTGGCCAGTGTAGCCATGGAAGCCCTTCTCATTATTCTTCACATCCCTTGCCAAATTCAGCTCCAACTGTGCCTCAGCATTCCTGATCCCATCCCCACATATCTGGGCAGCATCCCAGGATACACATCCCTGGTTCCACTGCCTGTGGAGGCTCCTCATCCTCAGGTGAAGGAGCCCAGCCCACCCTGTCTCTGCAGCTCAAAGGGGAAAGGAGGTTTCTCACCAAATTTATTTTGTTGCCTCTATAAATACTGAGGATGGATATTGGTGAAGAGAAGAGGCTGATGCAAGGTAACCCCTGGAAGTGGAAGGGCTTGTCAAACTTCTCCAAAACAGTATGTTAAAATTTTTATTGATCTGAGAAAAATCTGAGGGAGCTAAACACAGAGTTAAATATAATTGAACCTATATTTCTTCACAGATACATGAGTCAGAGCATCTGAGTGTGTATTGCCAAATATAGGAATGGTGCTCCATCAAAAGACGGATGCTGGAGTACAACAGCACTTCCCAAAGTTTGGTTTTAATTAACCATTCAGAAAAAAGATGGAAAGGACTGTTCTCCATGTGTCCATGGAAGAAATGCTGCATATTTTAACAAGAATGGCAGCAAGACCAATGCAATGAAGAGCAAAGCCCAGTGGTGAGAGCAGTGACACAATGCCTGGTTTATGGAATCACAGAGTTTTAAGGGATTGGAATAGATAATTTATTCCCAACCCCCCTGCCATGGGCAGGGACACCTCCCACTAGACCAGGTTGCTTAAGGCTTTATCCAACCTGGCTTTGAGCAGTGCCAAGGCTGGGGCATCCACAACCTCCCTGGGCACCCTGTGTCAGTGTTTCACCACCCTCACAGTAAAATATTTCTTCCCAGTATCATTTGTTTATCCAATCTGCAGCAATAATTCCCATTTCCAGGTCACCTCCAGCCCAGCTGTGCAAAGGGCTGCTCCCCCTTTCTCCCCATCGTGTCTCTCCCCTGCAAGGATGCCCCAACACCACCCCAAAGGGGTGCACCCTGTGCTGGGCATTTGGGAAAGGCAGCAGCCTCTCTGCCTGTACCCAGGGGTGTGTGATGATGGAGGGGGTCATAGAATCACAGAATGATTTGGGTTGGAAGGGACTTTGAAGGTCATCTTGTTCCAACCCCCCTGCCATGGGCAGGGACACCTTCCACTAGCCCAGCTTGCTCCAAGCCCCATCCAATCTGCCCTTGGACACTTTCAGGGATCCAGGGGCAGCCACAGCTTCTCTGGGCAACCTGTGCCAGGGCCTCCCCACCCTCACAGCCAAGAATTTCTTCCTAATATCTAATCCAACTCTACTCACTGTCAGTTTGAACCTATTCCTTCTTGTCCTGTCACTCCAGGCTCTTGGAAATAGTCTTGCCCCATCTTTCCTGTAAGTTCCCTTCAGGCAGTGAAAGGCCACAATCAGGTCACCCCAAAGCTTCTCTTCTCCAGGCTGAACAATTCCAGCTCTCCCAGCCTTTCCTCCCAGCAGAGCTGCTCCAGCCCTGGGATCCTCTTGGTGCCTCCTCTGGACTCTCTCCAGCAGCTCCATGTCCTTCCTGTGCTGGTTCCCCAGGGCTGGAGGCAGCTCTGCAGGTGGGGTCTCACCTGAGGCGAGCAGAGGAGCAGAATCCCCTCCCAAAACCTCCTGTAGTATTGCCTTCCATTGGCCCCAAACACCGCCCCTTTCCACAGCACTGCCTGCACCCGCCCTTCTTAAACCGCATGAGATCCCCCACGCGGCTCCTGCCGCAGGACCCCCGGGCCGGGGGAGAAGGAGGAAGGGAAGGGAGAAGGAGGAAGGGAAGGGAGAAGGAGGAAGGGAAGGGAGAAGGAGGAAAGGAAGGGAGAAGGAGGAAGGGAAGGGAGAAGACGAGGATGAGGCGGCGGGATCGTGAGGGGAGACCGAGCCCCGCCGCGGCCGCCAGGGGGCGCCGCGCGCCCTCGGGATGCAGGGGCTCGGGATTGGGTGGGGCGCTCGCGGGCTCGCCGCTGATTGGCCGGCGCGGGCCGGGCCGGGCGCGCGGCGCCGCTTCTTAACGCGCCTGGCGGGGCGGCGGGAGCGGCGAGCGCCGGAGGGACCGCGACTGTCGCGACATGAGCGAGGTGAGCGCCGCCGGCAGGGGCAGGGGGGGACGCGGGACACGGGATGTGGGGTCTGCCCTGGCTCCTCGGAGGGTGAATGTCACCTTCGCTTCTCTCCGGCCGGCCGGGGAGCGATCGGTGCAATCCCGAGGCTCCGCTGCGCTTCCCGCGGGATGTTAGCGCTGTGCTTGGTGCGGATCTGTAATAGCCAGATCCTTTTAAACCCTAATAAATAGATCTCCACAGGTGTGCGTGTGCCTGCAGAGCATGAAGCGAGGAGATGTTTTGCCGTTTGAAGGACCAGGCACGCAGTGGAGAGTCGTTTAGTTAAAACCCACTAATAATTTCATATATGTATATATATATGTATGTGTATTGCCAAATAGAGTAGTAGTGCTCCATCCAGAGCACAACAGCACACTTCCCAAAGTTTTGCTTTAATTAACCATTCAGAAAAATTATGGAATGGACTGTTCTCCTGGAACACTAGATCGACCTATTTGTCTGTCTGTCTATCTGTCTATCTCTCTATTTATCTATCTATCTAATGCTTTCCTATCTATCTGTCTATCTATTTATCTAATGCTTTCCTATCTGTCTATCTATCTATCTACTGCTTTCCTATCTATCTATCTAATGCTTTCTGTCTATCTATTTGCCCATCTATCTACTTATCTATCTGTCTGTCTATCTAATGCTCTTTCCCTTGGGAAAAAAAAAAAAGGATTTGGTAAGTTGTGGGAAAGTTGCCTGCTGGAGCTCATGGAAAAAAAAAAACCCGCCCTGTTTGTAGTTGGAATGATGATATAAACTTTACAAGTGGTGTCCTGGGAAGGATTACAATTGAGGGGGGAAAAAATGTAAATAGTGCCAAACATGTAAGGATCACTTGTCCACTTGTAAATAAATAAGCTGAGAATTTGCACTTGTGGTTTTCCTTGGAATATTTTTGGTTTTTTGTTTGTTTTTGGTTTTTCTCTCTCACTGGAAAAGTTCAAAATAGAATTTTCTTACTGGGAAGTGTTACCAGGCAGGAGGACTCCTGGATGGTGTAATCAGTGAAGTGCTAGGCATGTTCAGCTGGCATATCCTTCTTTCCTTAGTGCAGCTCGTTCTTTGGGATTCAGCAGATGTACCAGTAACTGTGCCTTACCCAGCACTTGTTTTTGGAGGCTCTTTGCTGTTATAAAGGACCTGCTACTCTATTAAATGGGATTTTCCTTTCTCAGCAGCAAAATTAAGAGTGACACCAAATCGGTTGTGCCTCGTTGCTGTGCAGATGTTACACTCAGCTGTGGTTTTATACACGAGGTGCAAACCCAAGATGAAAAGGAGTGGAGCAGTGTGTTCCTGGTGCAGGGATTTATGAGGAGCAGCTTAAATCTTGGCTTCCAGGTCATGCCAAGAGGGGAGAGCAGAGGAAATCCTCACGGTGCTTTGCAGGGATCAGGCAGCCCAGGTGTGGTGCACCAGGCTCTCCGTGACCTCTCCTCTGCTGCTGCCTGTCTTTTTATCAGCTGGATGGAGTTCAGGCAGTGTGGGTTTGGGGGATTTTGTTGCTTTTTTTGTTTCAGTCACTGTTACCTTGACTCCCCAGTCCAGCTGAAGGATGCTGTGAGATGCAGCAACACTGTTCTAATTAAATATATAATTTGGGAAAAAATCTTAAAGTGAGGAGTAATATTTGGGTGGTGCTGCTGTACTTATAACAATTCCACGGCAGTCTTGTTGCAGCTTTTGTGCTGGGTTGTATTTGCTCAGTAATTCTCTTTCATAATTTGAATCAGATCCCTCGCCCTTTGGATTTTAAAAGACTCAGTGAACATAAAGATCCTCCATTCAGCATAGGAGTTCTCTATTCATAGTGCATCTCCTTGTGCCTCCCAGAGTACTATTCCTGGCAAACCCTTGGAGCTGGGAGATGTTTCTTTGGTGCAGAGCTGTGACACTCAGCACTGTGCTCGGTGTCTTGGGTGCCACTGTCATTCAGCTGCCAATACTGGGGAGTTTTATCACCCAAGGAAGAAAAGCCTCCCTGCTGTTACTGCCCTTTGGAGTAACAGCAAGATCTGCTAAAAAGCAGATGGAAGCAACTAGACCACCCCAAACCTCTCTGCAAAAGACTGTTGTTTAAAAAATGAAGCAAAAAAACCCCCATGAGCAGAAAGCTCCTTAGGACAACAGTTTGCTGCCATGGGGGTCTTAGTGGATTTAGCTTCTAATGCTGTAACTGAAAGATACTTTTATTTTCTTTGGCTTAATCTGCTAAAAAAATCTGCGGACAGGGTGATTGGAAAGAGGCTCAATTAGAGCCATCTAAAGATTATCCCAAACACAAGGGTGCTGGGAGGGTGGGAAGGGTTTTTTTTTACTTTATGGTAATGACTGTCAGGATTTGAGCAGCGCTTGAAAGGTGGTTGCAGGAGCTTTGATCTCCCTCAGAGTTATTTGCTGAGACTTTGCACGGGTTCTCATTGTACTGCTTCATGCAAAATTAACTTATGGGCAGTGATTATGATGATTTATGATAGAACTGATGGAACAGGTTTGTCACTGATGGAACAGGTTTGTCAGAGAAGCTGTGGCTGCCCCTGGATCCCTGGAAGTGTCCAAGGGCAGGTTGGACAGGGCTTGGAGCAACGTGGGATAGTGAAAGGTGTCCCTGCCCATGGCAAGGGGTGGCACTGGATGAGCTTTAAGGTCCCTTCCAACCCAAACCATTCCATGATTACCATTCTCCTGGTGGAGAAAGCTGAGCAGGAAGCAGTAATTCATCTGGCTGTAGTATTTTTCTGGTTTTTAGCAGCTAACTTTTTTTTTTCAGAAGGGAAAATGAACTTTTCCTCAGAAAAACACTACACTTCTTCCTCAGGGATATTTGTCTGAAAATGTGTTTAATAAGCTTTGGCAGAAATCTGGCCCCATAAGTAGTGGGAACGTGAAGTGTAACAGTTGGATCTTGTGGCGTTGCAAATCATGGTTAGTGCTTCCTGCTGCCCGGCTTTTGGTGGCAGACAGATCCTTTAGCTGCACAGGGAACTTCTTGGGAATGTCACTGTAGACTGACATGCATTTTTAGCTCTGAAAATCTGCCATCAAATAACTGAGGAGCCTTTTCTTTAGATCTGTAGCTGTTTTCTGTTATTTTTTCTATGAGCCTAGAGAGAAGAGCCGTGCTGGGAAACATCAGCTACTGTCAATGAGCAGCCATGAGAGGCAGCCTGTCTTCCATTAAACCTCTCTAATCACACAGGATGAACTGGGGGAAAGTGGTTTTGGGTAATGGGTTCACAGCCCAATGCCAAATTGCTCTTCACAGCCAGTTGTTTTACCAGTCAGCCTCTAAACTCGCTCCTGGCATAAACTTGATTCACCACAGGGATTCCTGTCATCTTATCAGTCATTTAACTCTCTGACATGTTGCAGATGGTGTTGGGTCGTGGTATTCTCCCGCCACAAAGGTGCACAAGAGGCATTTAATCACACAGACATTTTTACAACATTCCCTCTTGCCTCCTGTGTGGAACGTTTCTGGTTGTCATCAGAAACCAGGACTTGGGAAGGACCAGCACTTAAACACTCTGGTCCTGGAGCCCTGGATGCTGTTCCAGTGGTTCAGGGCTGCAGCACACGTGTCATGAGAACTTAAAACAGCCTTAGCAGAGATTTGTCTTGTTGGATGCACTGATTTTATTTGGATATTAAAGGTCAGAGCAGTAGTGCTGTAGGGGAGGTAGTAGTAGTACTGGTGCTGGGGAGGAGCTCGGCTTTAACACACGTTCTTCAGGTGTCCGATTTTGGGAGAGCCATTTGGGGAAATCCTTTCTGATTGCCTGAGGCACCTGTGATTTAAGAGGAAAAACTTGCACTGGAAGAGCCTCCCACAGTGTGAGAGGAGTGCAGTGCTGATTGCCAGGGTGCTGATGGGCACCACAAGTGCTGTGCTGGTTTGAGCCAGCAGCTTGATGTATCTGAGCACTGGCCCAGCTGCCAGACAGCAGCAAGAATATTCAATATTCTGGCTTGCCTTTGGAAACAGGTGTCAAGCAACCAGGCACATGAAATTCAGAGAGATGGTGGGGTTCTGACTCCACAGAGTCTCTTAGTTGGGGAGGTGAAGGGTTGGGGACTTCACCTCTGCATATATACAGGGGGTTTGGATCCAGAGAACACCAGGTCTTGTTTCTTTGAGCTGCACCAAGCTCTTTGCCTTATATTGCCTCTGGTTTTTGAATCCTGCAGCCACTGCTGTGCTGTGTCCACCTTCCAAAGGATCCTGAAGGGTGTTTGTGTGTCCTGTAATAGGGGTGTGCAGGGAGTTCACGGGCAGGTGAGGAGTCTGGAGCACTGAATCTTTGTTTTGAAGCTCAGATGACTTCAGGGGAAGGTACCCAGGCAGCCAGCTCAGCAAAGGTGGAGGCTGATGTGGGCTCACACTGGGATAAGAGACATTTTTCTGGAAATGGAGCTTCACCAGTCCTTGAGGTGTGTCTGTAAGACACCAATCACCAGGGCAGTCTGTTTTCCAAACCAGTAATACCCCATGGCTTGGTGGATTGGGCATGACCCTTCCCTCCAGGTTGAGGGGAGAACCTGGAACATGCCTCTGTCCCTCTGGGCAGATGTGTCCAGCAGGAGGCTCTTGGAGAAGGAGAGGGACACTTTTGAGTGTGAAACATGATGGGTGGGTGGAGGCTTTTGTCTGAAACTGTGGCTGCTTCAGGTAGTTAAATGGCAACACTGGAGTTCTTTCTTAGGTCGTTGTAATAAATTCAGTTGAAGCCATTTCACTGAAATAATACTTAGCATTTTGGAACCGGATAAACACAAGTGAGGATTCCACAATGACAATCTGATGGCAGAGAGTCAAAGAACTGGTTTGTGGGGGGAAAACACACCACATTTGTTTAGAGGAGCTCCTGTTCTCTGGGTGCTTCCAGTGCTGGGGGGTGTCTCAACCAGCCACTCATCTCAGGGAGGAGCCTTCTGGATGCATTTTTCAGATACTGCCATGACCCCCA